ACAATAAGTTATGATAGAATTCATGATTACATTAATAACAAAACATTTCCTTTAAATGACGTTGCTATTGACTTATATCATAGACGTTCAGTACCTCATGAAGTAAGAAGAGAAATGTTTGACATAACAAATGCAAACGTTGGTGAAACAAGAAGAAGAGACGACACACTGAAACAACAGAGAAGAGAGATGTTTAAAAGTGCTATAGAACAAGTTCGCAAAGCTAACGATGTCCTTCGTTCCATTGACGACAAACCAAAAGAAGGTGAGAGATGGTTAAAGAAAGATGAAGAGAATAGGAAGAGGAATGTTAAGACAGGCAATAGACTCATTGACTTTAACATCGAAGCTTTAGATGAACCAAACAGAGACTACTTACACAAACATTTCGGTAAGGTTTTCATGAGACTCTTAGAGAAGATTAAAATAAACTCCCAACAAAGATGGATGGTATGTTATAAACTTGGTGGAAAGTATGAATGTTCTACGTTAAACCTCAATAATATTGGAACATTACTACATCAGCTCTTGAAGGAGAACTTTATATCAGAGATAGAAGCAAATGCTGCAGGTATTGTTGAAATGCACTATGACTTCTTCTTGACAAACATAAAGAATCTTACTGAAATAAAGATGTATGATTTAACTGAATATGAAGGCTTAACGATGTCAGATGTAAAGAAAGGCAAACCAAAAAAGAGACCATATAGAGATGAAAGCACACTGACAAATGACCAGAAAGCCATTTTGGAAGCTCTTAAGCAAACAGGAAACCCAGCACTTATAGAAAGCTTTTGGAAAGATAATGGTGAAAAGAAGTTTTATAAGAAGAGAAGCGGTCAGTTCTGGAAGTATCTTTGCACATTACCTATAAATCTTGAGCGCTACCAAATCTTCAATGAACTGAACAAAAGAACTGCAACACTTATGACAGAAGATAACTGCTTCGTTTATGCTTGCATTCAGGCTGGAGTAAATGAAGAAACTATTGACCACATGAGAGAAGTCATTCGTGTTAGAGACTTTCCTCAAAGTAAAGTACAAGAGATTTCTGACGCAACAGGTATAGCATTTAATGTTACCATTGGTTACTTCAATGACTCAAGACATAATGAAATAAAGAGATACATACCAAAAGAATGTGAAACTGTTCGAACTATTGACTTACTTCTTGTGAAGACCACTACATGCCTAAATGAAAGATTACCAATGACAACATATTTCATTCGCAACTATATAGAAATCTTGAAGGAGTGTGGTGGAATGAACTTGAGAAACAGATGAAGATTTATACAAAGGAGAGAACAAATATGTAGTTCGTTATGATAGAAAACACCGTTATGGGATGTTATGAAAACATTGTGGGAGTGCAAATATTTCGAACCTATTTCTTATGGAGAACTTTTCACATATACGACTGACTTATATAAACAGAACCTTGCACCATTTAAAGATTTGACATTGCTCCAAAGTATTGTGTACAACTGAAGAAGAAAGCCGAGTCAAAGAAGTAAATAAAAATAAGTGCAAGTTCATTCCTGAGCACGTTTTCTTTGCTGACTTTGAGTGCAGTACTGATGGTTTCAATAAGCTTTTAACATATGTTATGACAGTGAAGATGGTTCAGTGAGTGAAAGCATTTGGGGTCAGAACTGTGCAACAGAATTTTTGGAACGACTTCCTGACAAGAGTTTAATATATTTCCATAACCTCAGTTATGATATAAACTTCATCTTAAGACACATGACAGAAGTGAAAGGAACTCCCATCATTAAAGGTTCACGAACAATGCAAATAACTGGCTTATATAAAGGAAGGGCAATTATTATAAAAGACTCTTACAGTGTTATAAATAAGAAGCTTAAACTATTTCCTGCTATGTTTAACTTACAAACAGGACCGAAAGAAGTATTTCCATACAACTACTACAGCAGTGTTTTGTTAGCAAATGACAACAGAACTGGTGTCATTTCTGAAGCGTGTAAGTTTATCCAGGATGCGGATACATTCATGAAAAACATAGATTCCATCAAAGGTTGCAGAATAGATGAGAACCACTTCGACTTAGAAAAGTATAGTACATTTTATTGCAAACAAGATGTAAGAATTTTAAGAGAAGGTTTTGTTAAGTTCCGCAATGACATATTGAAAGATTTGATTTAAACGTTTATGACTACGTTAGTATTTGTTCAATTGCTAACAAATTATTTGAGAACAGAGTGTACTTCCCGAATGGAAATTTATATGACCTCTCAAATAAACCAAGAGAATTTATTTCACGCTGTATTCAAGGTGGAAGATGTATGCTGTCAGATAACATTAAACAAAAGAGCGAAAAGAAACTCATTGCTGACTTCGACGCTGTTTCATTATATCCATCGCTATAGCAAGACTTTATACTTTAGAAGGTATTCCAAAGGTTATGAAGAAAGAAATGTTAAGCACAGAGTATCTCATGAGACATTTATTCGATGACGACCAAAAGGAACCCATTGGTGAAAAGTTTATGTCTGGCTTCTTTGTTCTCATTAAGATAACAGAGATTGGAATACATAGACACTTTCCTTTAATAGTTTGTGACCCTGAACTAAATCCAGAACTTAACGTTCCCAGAAGTTCAAACACTTGCTGTTTAATGTATGTTGACCATATAACATTACAAGACCTCATAAAATATCAAGGTGTCAAATGTGAAGTGTTGCAAGGATACTATTACGATGGAAACAGAGATATTAGAATAAGAGATGAAGTAAAGAAGTTGTTTGAGTTAAGGTTAAAATATAAGAAAGAAGGAAATCCTTTGCAAGAAAATATAAAGCTCATTCTGAACAGTATTTATGGCAAAACTATTCTATCTCCTATTGAGTCAAAAATAACCATAGTAAATGACAAAGATGCTATAAGATATGCCATCAGAAACTACAACCATATAGTGAAGTTCGAAGGTTTGGATGGTTCAGATAAAACTATTTTCAAGCTAACGAAAAGCATTTGCAGACACTTTAACTTCTGTCCACTTGGTGTTAACATTCTGTCTATGTCGAAGAGAATAATGTGTGAAGTATTCTGTACTGCTGAAGATATGGGACTTCAAATATTTTACCAGGACTGTGATAGCATGCATATTTTCAATGAAGACATACCAAAGCTTGCAGCAGAGTTTAAGAAGAGATACGGTCGCGAACTTATAGGAAAGAACCTTGGTCAATTTCATTCTGACTTCGCAGAAATAACACCTGGAAAACAAAGTTTAGCATACAAGTCAATATTTTGTGGAAAGAAGACTTACATAGACTTACTCACGAATGATTTAAATGAAGTTGCATTTCATGCACGTTGTAAAGGTGTAAAACAAGACGTTCTTGCTTTAACAGCTAATGAAATGTTTCCTGAAGCTATACAATGCTATTACAATGAAGATAAGAACATTCACATACCTGTTGGAACATATGACAAAGACTCTGAGTTCAGTTTAATGAAACTTTACAAAGCACTTCATGATGGTCAAGAGATTGGATTTGACTTATGTAAGTCATGTCAACCTTGCTTTGAAGAGAAGTTTAACTTCTCAATAACGACTAAAACAAGCTTTATTCGTAAGTTGAAGTTCTGAGGTCATTTATTTTTGTCAGCAATGAGGTCATTTATTTTTGTCAGCAATGAGGTCATTTATTTTTGTCAGCAATGAGGTCATTTATTTTGTCAGCAATGAGGTCATTTATTTTGTCAGCAATGAGGTCATTTATTTTTGTCAGCAATGAGGTCATTTATTTTTGTCAGCAATGAGGTCAGCAATGAGGTCATTCGTGATAAAAATAAGCCGCTAGCGTAGATTTTACAATACTGCGATGGTAGAGTTTAAGAGTTGTGCTTCAATGTAGAGACAGTCCTTATGGTCTGGAGGTAGCAAAACAGGTGCTTTATGGTCATGAGTGGAGAACATGTCTATCCAAAACTCACGATTGAATCCAGTTAATTTATAGTATTTAGGGTTAGGAAGTGGTGAAGTTCTTGTATGACCAATGAACTCATTTTCAACGCCTTAGGCTATATTAGAGAAAAGAATAGCTTGCTTTCTATCCCAAATGCCAGGTGTTACAATCTTTGAAAATTCATTTTTCCTCGGAAGCATTGCATCATAATTGAAAACATTCTTGAAATCATCACTTGGTTCAGAGATTTGAAATCTTATACGTAATGGATTTTTTTTCTTTTTAGCTACTTCATTGAATGGTGAATATATAACAAACTGACAGTCATGAGTTCCATCTTCATTTTCATTAAATTCATAATGAAAGTCTATAAGTTGTGGCTGACTACCTTCTTCTTTCAGTTGTGCAAGAAACTCACGTAAAGGCTGTAAAGTTTGTACTTCAATGTTAAACTTTTTCTCGAACATTCATTAAATGAAATCATACATTGTTGCAATGTTGTATCGTCTTTAAAGTATTTGTATATGTGAATGTTTTGGGCGCTTAAAGACTGTTCGTCATTTTCTATCTCGACTTGAAGTATAAAGTCAACCTTTCTGAAAGCATGTGTTATATACATAGATGTTATGCCAATGTACTTCTCTTCATTTATGTTCACAATCCAGTCTGTTGGAAACTTAAACGTTACTCTGTTCCCCTTTATTTTGACGTCAGGGTTTTCACTACTGAACGCAACAGATAAAGGTATTTGTCTATACATTTAATTCGGATAAAAATAAACCATTTACTCTTTCTTTGCTTCAGCTTCTTTAGCTTTTGCTTCAGCTTCTTCTCTAGCTTTTTCGCCAGTACGTGGGTTCTTTGTCTTCCAGCAGCTAATGCAGCAAGTTGTTTTTCACTAAGTTTTCTCTTTGGTCTCTCTGGCTTTTGTTCTTGTTTTTGTTCCTTCAGTTCGGATAAAATTTGCTCACGAATTTCTTTCTTCAATGCTTCAACATCTATGACCCCTTGGGTCTTGTCCGTAGGGCTTGTCTGAGTCATTTGACTGCAGATAAAAAACAAAATTAAAACTTTAACCGATGTAAAATGAGCTTGTCAAAATCAGAGCGAGAGTCTATTATATTAAATGACGCAAGAGGAATACAACATCCTTTCTATTACGTAAGTCAGAGTAAAGATGGTAAAATATACGTAAGAAAAAGAAAGGTTCCATTAGCGAATGCAGAAAGCGACAACATTAAGGTGTATGGCAAGGGTGAAGTCCACGAAGCCCATATAAAACCTTCTGTTCAAACTGAGCCACCAAAAGAACAGAAGAAAAGAAGCCAGATGTACTTTCAATAACGAACCAAGAGCTTATTGCAAAGTTCGTGAATTTCATTGAAAAACAAACCGAGTCAAAGAATCCTGACCCGCCAGTGAAAGAAGTTGAGACAAAAGAGAATGTACAGTTCATTGAAAATGTCAAGAAACAACTTCCACCACGAATGCCAAGAAGAAGAGTGAGAATAATGAAGTAAATAGATATTTTTATCTGAAGTAAATACATGCAGAACGAACAGCTAAACGAATTTACTCCAGCAGAGCATATTCATCAGATTCGCTCATATTTCGATATCATAGACAATGCAGTTCAAATTGGTGACACTAATAGAAAATATTCTGACGCAAAGATTCCATCACAACCTGGAACTGCTAAAGATAACACATGGGTAACATTCAATCTCTCACCTCCTGGTGAAAATATGTTGGACCTTTACAATACATTCATTACGTATAAAATGGAAGGTCAATTTATTGTAGATAAAGAAATTGGTTCAGGTTCCAATAAAACAAACCCACCAGGATTTTGGATTGGTTTCGATGACGCTTTCTATGCAGTTGCTGGATATCAAATCCTTGCAAATGGTCGTATCGTATATTCTCAAGACAACGCAAGAGAAGAAGCATATATAACTTCAAACTCACAAACTACCGAACAAATAAAGAAAGTAGATGTTTTCTCAAAGACTCGACATGAAGATGTATGGAGTCATTCGGGAACATGCAGAACAGGACAAATTGTTAGTGGTCCAATTACAGCAGGAAAATCATTTGATTTTAAGCTTCGTTTAAGAATTCCTGTTAGAAGATTCCTTCCATTAGAAGCTATTCGATTTATTCCAGCTTTTGCAGGAAACATTCAGCTTAAAGTAAAGTTCAGTAGCGACGCCTTACAATGCACATCTATATCTGTAAATGATATCATTGCTTTCAATCCAACTCTTAAAGTTGCATTTGCTTCAGATTCAAATCCACCGACAAATAAATTTGTTCCATGGAATGAACCATTCACTATGATAACGAAGGCAGTAGAAGCTAGTGGAACAGTTACTATTACAACTGTAACCCAGCAACTATTTCGAACAAAGATGGATTTTAATGAATGTTTCATTCATCCAAAGTCATTCTCTTTAGACCCTAACATTTATACAGAACTTGTAGAACATTATACAAACGAGGCTTTATGTTTTCCTGTTAAAGTTATGGATTGGATTCCTATGGACGGTTCATTCTCAAAGAATACAGATAGTTCAAGTGCAACATTTACAGCAGCTTATACGCCTATTAATGTTAAAAGTATTTGGGCACTATTTAGAAAGAAAGACAACTATTATGTTAATTTTGAGAACCCTAAGTTTAAATATCTTCAGCTTTCCATGGGAGCTTATGGAAATATGCCTGCAGAACCTGAAAAATCATATGGACCTGTATTTTATGAAATGGTTGCGAACGCTTGCAATACAAACAATGATATGATAGGATTTAATGAAGATGTTATGAGGTCATTGGTGGATGATGGTAGTGTGGAACATAAATGGGATAGCTATGACAACACACATTTCTTATGTGGTTTTCCAACAGAAGTGGACTTTTGCTTCCAGCAAGGTCAAACATCTACTGCTCCAATAACATACAAATTGTCTGTTAAAGGACCTATTGAACTAGCAACTGAAAATGTACCAAAGCCACTTATTGGATTTATGAGGGATTGTTGCTTTGCCATTCAGGTGCGTGCTAATGGCATCCCCATAATAAGATTAGATGACTATAACTTAGCTACGGACGACAGTGAGGAATAAAGGATGAACGTTTATTTTTAAAGCTTATAAATGAGTTCTTCATCAAGCTCTCGTGAACCTTCACCATCTATGAAACAAACTTTACCAAACGATTATGGAGCACCTATTGAATATTTCTTACGAGCTGCACAATGGCAAAGAGCAGTCTCACCAAGGTTAGGTGTTCCACCAGCTCCTGTCAAAAATAGCATTTGGTCAAGTCCTTATATAAGATATGGTCTCCCACTAGGTTTGCTAGCTACAGCAGGAGCAGTTATGATGTTGAAAAGAAATAAAGCAAATGTTGTAAATAATACTGAAGTAGCTGAAGTTAAACAAACTCCAACACCTTCACAAGCAAAACCTTCAATGACTCCTGAACCTATGGAAGTACAAACTCCTGTTCAAAAGTCAACTCCTAAACCGACTCCAACATTTAAACCAGAACCTACTCCTCAAATAAATCGTAAAACTCCTGCGTTTCCTTACTGAAAAAATAACGTTATTTTTATTTAATATTAAAATTTTTATTTGATTGAAATGACGACTAAAGTCACTGAAGCAATGAAACAAAAGTTTTTGGTAGAATACATTAAATCAGGAACTATTCCAGAAGGTTTTTACATTCACTCTATGAAGGATGGTAGAGTTCAGTTTAGAAAGATAAAGCAACCATTAGATAGAGAAGGTATATTAAGGAAGATTAAACTTCATGAGGACAACATTGCTGAACTTAGGAAGAAGTTAGAAGAGTTGGAGAAAGGAAGAGAGTTATAAAGCAATGAATTCAACAGGGTGAAAAAACAGGTGAAAAAAGAGGTGAGATCTCACCACTTCACCTAAATTTATTTTTGTGCTATGTTTTCATACGTGTGAGGGTGGTGATATCATTAATTTTTAAGTTTATTTTTATATAAATGACAGAACAAAAATAAAGCATATCTACTCAACAGGAATGAGACCCTTACTGACTATGTATTCGTTTAATGCTTGATGAAAACAATGGTACATATTATCGTATGGGTATACACAACGTCTGTTTCCATCGTCGTCGTATATGTAGAGCTCAAATCCAGTCCAACCTTCTTTTGTACAATATGTAGCTTTATTTAAGTATGCATTTATGTAGATAAGGCAATTTTCTTCATCGCTCCAGAAATAATTTTTGTTCTTTGTTGAAATAGTTTTCGTTCCTCTGCGACCATAAGGAATGTATGCAATAAATTTAGCATCATAAGGGATTGTAATATATTCAGGGTTTCTTTCATCGTCAATGGGTCTGTCTTTGTTAAAATGCATGTTTCTCAGTTTTACTTGAGTTTTGAATAGTTCACGGAAACGTTCTGGGAAAGAGTCATAGTAAATGTAGTCAGACATGTCTTTGTAATGAAATAAAAAATTTAAAAAAAATAAAAATAAGGTTATTTTTATTTAGTGAGGACGGTAGTGAAGTCATTAGTGAAGTCGTTAGTGAAGTCGTTAGTGAAGTTGTTTATGTGTCAGATGGTTTTGTAAATATTTAAGGTTAAGTTGTGTTATGGTTGTGTTGTAAAATATACGTTACCGGTTTCGTAAAGTGTCAAAACCGCTAAGTGGTGTACGGAGGCGCGCAGTGCCACAGTACGCAACTTAGGGATACTAACTGCGCATTAGGAAAAACAATTCGAATATAAGTGTCGTACCCAACTATCCATATTCTTTTAGTCAAGTATCGTGTTTGGCATGTTTCGAAATAGAATTTTGTATTAAGGATTGGGCGTTCTGCAAAATGAGTTTTATATTTTGGTAATAAATCTGCATTGACAGTTGTAATATAAAAGGAAATATGTTGATCTGGATGTGCATTGACTACGGCGTATATAGCTGGTCCAAGATTGAAAAGGTCTCCTGACCATGACAATAAAACATTCATGTTACTGTGGAATTCTCCATTATACGTGATACCGCCAATAGTTGAAAACAAAACGATGATAAATACTGATTCAATGACTAATATATATATGGAAGATTTTTGAAATATAAAACCAAAACTCATTTAACCCTTGACGTCAAATTTTTGTGGCTCGCCAAGCTCTGTTTTAGCTTGATTTTCATAACACAATAAGATCTCTATATTGATATGTTATCTCGAAATCAAATGAAAGTCATGTTTCATATTCATTTTTACTATTCTTTAAATTCTGAGTATAATGAACTTCGTTTTTGTCGATGTCTTTTTATATCTCACCCTGTATCTTTTCTTTTTAGTAACTCAAACATGGTATAATCCTCTGTTGTCATATGTGTGTCAAAAAAGTGTTTGCTATAAAAGGGAAAGTACCGACAAATAACCGTTTTTCGCTGTCAGATTGATTTTTTATCAAAATATTGTGTATGCTATTTATTTGGAACTACAATAGCGAAAGTAAAATATATTGATATTGCCTGTTGATAGGGTTGTACAAACTGGCACGCCTGCTGGCACACCTTTTTTGGCCAGCTGGCACGATTTTTTTAAAAAACACATTAAAAAAGTCACTTTTTGCCCCATCTAATGAGATTTTTTTTACAATTTTTTCCCCTTATTTTTCAATTTAGATATGATTTTAAGCTCTCCAAATTGAAGTTTACCTGATGTTTCTTAGTTTTTATGATAATAAAATGTTGCAAAGTTGAGTTTGGATTCAATAAATTTAAGAAAATTTTATTTTACAATGAAATTATAAGAAAGGATGTTTTTATCCTATGTCAAAGAGAATACATTTGTAGATCCCGACTTTTGACATGGTTGAAAATTCCAAAAAAAAATTCAAAATTTAAAAAAAAAATTAACAAATATAAATTTCATGTTAAAAAATGATTTTTGAAATTTTTTTTGGAAAAATAGAATGTCATATTTTTATGTTTTATTGCTATTTTTTACGAAATCAATAAAATATTTGTTAATTTGGCTGAGATTATAAATAAAATCTTTCTAAATCTTGCAATTGATTGCTAAAATCTGTTTTATGTATTAATTGGCATTGAGATTCGTTATAAAAGAATGCGAATTATTTTGTATGAGTAAACGTATTTTGTAAAATTTCAAATTCTCTTCTCTCATTACTTACCTTAGAACTCTCGGCTTTTAGCTCTCAGATTTCGCTCATAGAACTCAGGTTTTAGTTATGTACTCATAGATGTATCATTACTGCCCGCAGATCTCTCATT